TTAATTGCAGTAGGCAGATGTTCTTGCTGAAATTGATGTGATGTATTATTTCAAGTGCAAAGCAATGTTTATCAGCCACGGTATCCCATTACCCCAATACTGAGCGTTCGGTTGAGAATCAATTCCGGTTATAATTTTGTATTTTGTGTTACATTTTACTCAATTGGGTAACACCTGGGGCCCCGACAGCCATACGGAGACAAATGTATGAAGTAATGAAATATGTTTCAATATTTGTAGAACAAACGGAAAGATCAGTAAACTGCGAACTTTTTATGGGCTTTCAGGATGCAATACACTCTCTCATTTTAATAACAAGATTGGCTTAATTTAAATATATACAACGTCAGTGTTAAAGAATGCCCAATCTTGATTATCCTAAGAAATAGATTCCACTTAGCGTAAAGGGCAAATTAGCTGTCCAAATTATTTGAATGAACCAGGAAAATCATTGGTGAAACCATATTATGAAAAGTGTCACCCACCATTTACACAATTTTATTGCTTTAAAATGTATTTGCGTTCCGACGCCACACAAGAGTATTCCTGCCATGCCACTGCAGCCCGTAAACAAATGCAATATTAATGCTTATATCGGGCTGGATTAAGCGTGTAAAAAGGGATTACATGCTCAGTGTCTGCCATCTGACATCACCAAGTTCAACACTCGATGTAATGAACAGCAGTTGAATTAAACAAATAGATACAATTCGGTTACAACTGATTTTCACTATATGTTAGAAAAAGATGTTCCTCGAGATTTTGATAAAAAGGACAAGATATGTTGTATTCATTTTCTGATACAAATTTGACACAGACCTGACACGAAATCGTCTAACGCAGTGTTCAGTTTTGTGATTCTGTGTAGAATTAAACAATACGTACAATTCATAATAATTCATCTTTCTCGTTAAGTATACGTGAGTTTGGGGTACAGAGGAAAACGTATATTTGATCCAGTGTCGTCCATGGTTGAATAATAACGGTTTTGTTTTTGTTGCAACAATTTATCCCTTTTCAGCGAGGCCAGATCGATAATTGCATGTCAGAGTACATAATTATTTTAGTACTTTCGTATTATTTACTGATTACTGATTAAAGAGTCTCACATGTAACCAAATCAAATTGTGCTGTGCTTCCCAAGATGGATGCTGAACACGAAACATAATAACCCCTTTTTGGATGAAGAGAGGAATGTTCCGAACAAAGTCACATGCCTGAGAGAGCACTGGACACCCCAAAAGTCCTCTTTAGTCGGAATACTGTTTTTAGCAGTAATTTCGTATGATTATGGGATGACGATAACGCTTTTATTGAGATGTACGTGATATACATGCACTTCTAAACCAGCACAAATGAATATTTATCCATTCTTAAAGTATGAATAAAACGTTGATTCGGTTATCAGTTAGAGTAATTTACGGATTCTGATTCTGGAGGAATAATTGCGACAAATCCATTTCCTTTACCAAGATACAACCATCTATCCTATGCATGTTTTTGAAATGTTCGCGAGGTGGGCGTTTCCTGCTCCATCGATTGCAGTTATCACAGTCACTATTCCCCTGAAAGTACACATGTCTATCATAAAACGCTGTGCAATATTTGTAAGACATTGATCAAATGGACCCGTGAAGATCCGGGGTAGAATAGGTCTTCAGCAACCCATGTGCTTGCCATAAAAAGGCGACTATCTTGTCGTAAGAAGCGACTAACGGGATCGGGTGGTCAGTTTCGCTGACTTGGTTGACACATGTCATCGGTTCTCAATTGCGAAGATCGATGATCATGCTGTTGATCACTGGATTGTCTGGTCCAGACTCGATTATTTACAGACCGCCGCCATATAGCTGGAATATTGCTGAGTGCGGCGTAAAACTAAACTCACTCACTCACTCACCCATTGATCAAATGACAGCACAGATAGCAAACGGTGCACAGTGCGCTGAACTGAGCCGTGGATAGAAGCAAATACCTTGGACCTCGGGTATCACTGTAATACAGGAAGTCTCAGCTGCACACTCTCCATAATTGCTTCACTGGGGTAAGCGTGTTTGGACGCGTTGCTTTTCGCAATTGCCCACAGCTAGTTATGGCAGAAATGGGTGGAATGTTCCCCAAAGTGGCATAGTACACGAGTCACTCGACGCATCAAGGTGCAATACCACCATTGCGCGAATGATACAGAGTGAGTGAGTTTAGTTTTACGCCGCACTCAGCAATATTCCAGCTATATGGCGGCGGTCTGTAAATAATCGAGTCTGGACCAGACAATCCAGTGATCAACAGCATGAGCATCGAGCTGCGCAATTGGTGATATGAAGTAACATTAACCAAAGCAGTTACTTATAATTAGTCATCACGTTGATTGTTATTAGACGATGGCTTTGTTCGCTGAATGGTTATAAAGAATAACGAAAACGCCAGAAAACGCCAATATTTATAAAAACAACAGAGCCATCAGGCCACCATCAACTCTTACTTTCTGAAAATCTCATAGTCCCTTGTGTGCATCAATGTGCGACAATTCCGTTACTGGTTTGTCTGCGGCTTCGACATTTCTGTAATCGAGCTTTGCCTCTGGGAGCAGAGTGTCAGTAAACAAGAACTAAGTAATAATTGAAATGTTCACAGTTTTATTACTCTGCTATTAATTGATACCCGTATCACTAGACGACAAATGTAATGATAAAGAATTCAATTTACCCTCACAGTGATAGCTAATGCACAAGCTGATTAGCTAAGCTAATGCAATACTATGAGAGTATAATACTATGTTATAACATGACAGTATCTAAATTGTTCTTTATACTGAGAAATGCATAGACAGACAATTAAATCGGATGCGATAAATTCACACATGATAGTTAATTAACAATCTAATGGCTGTAGACGTAAAGTAGACGTAAAACGCCCGAATACTAAACTAGTGTTATAAACAAACGACCAAGTGAATATTTATATATTTGGCTTTGTACCTACAACTGTGATATCTAATTTAATATTTTAAATTAATTGTCCGTTGACGATATGCATTTATTAATAGCTAACTTGTTCTCATCGTGATATGGCTGGAAAATTGTCGATGCGATTTTAACTCACTCACTCACTCAAAATAACTGGACAAGAAAATGCCAAACCTTCCAACAATAAAATGTTTCTTGACCTATCTACACTCTACACTCTTCAATAACAATCACTGGGGAAGGTATTTGACCAAAAGATTAATTTGACTCCCAATAGTAAATAGGTACTTTACCCAAACTATACAATCAAGGGAAATCAATGGAGTATGAGAAACAGTGGCTACAAGTTCAGCTCAATACCACAGTACCCGGGAGAAAACTGCCCAATAACTTACTAACGGAGAACGGCAAAGCGACGCCTGAAGGTAAAAACATGTGAATTTGACAAGGATGGTAGAGTACAACCAGTCCTGGTCAGACGGGGAAAATCAATAGCCAGGTTAATAAACCAAAGTGTTTCTTAACATAAGGAAACCCGAATAGACACATAGTTACTTGACCCATACGGAAGATGTAAATATAAAAAGAAGGTGCTGAACTTAAGCAACCCATGTGAACTTCACATGATTTACATTCGGATATATACTATTTTGAGGAAGCCAGAAATACATGACCATAAATACATGAATACATGAGAAATATCTATCGCTTTTGAGAGAAAATGAAAGTTACACAAACACTTTCACTTCATGAACAAGGTAGCATGAGAAATAACATATATCAAATATAAACAATATAAAGGTGATCCATTACACAGCTAGAGAACATCATTCTCTGACAATGAATTTGAGACAACGACGAACACTTCAGTTTACCGAAAGGCAACGGAAGACGGACAATTAAGGCAAAGGTAAAGCTGCAGTCACTGACAAAGACACTGTCACTGACAGACATCATATAATTTGTTTTGTAACGAGGAAGGGCGGTGGGGTAGCCTGCTGGTTAAACCGCTGACTCGTCACTTGTCACGCCGAAGATACGGTTTTCGATTCCCCATGTGGGTACAATGTGTGCAGCCCATTTTCTGGTGTCCTCCTCCGTGATATTGCTATTAGCGGCGTAAAACTAAACCCACCCTCTCACTTTTGTAACAAGAGACAATGTTAACGTATTGCTGTATCGCCATCGGCCTCCTGCAATCAGTCGAAACTAGATAGCGATTGGGCGTTACATGTTGATGGAAGAGACGATAGCTGTGGTGGGTGCACTTCTTCATCACTGTACCACCGATCTGTATACGGCCTAACTAGTGCAGTCATGCTAAATCCCCAGCTAACACAGAAACGTTTAGAAAACGTTTTTGTATCGTTTCAAAAACGTTCAATAAAACGTTTTTAAAACCTAATTTTGTGGATTTCTTTTTACGTTTTAAAACCTTTTTAACGAAACGTTGGCGAGAAACCTTAGAAACTTTTTAAAAACGTTTTTCCATGGGGTTTCCATAACGTTTCAAAAATTTGTGGGTTGAACCTTTTTGCGATTGTAGAGATATCAGAAACGATATCATCTTCTGATATCGTTGCAAGGCTAGTTTACCAACACTTTGAATCCCGTCCAGTAAATAAATGCATACACGTAAATACATTTGTTAATCATGTTATCCGTTATTATTTAGTAAAAATGAAAACAAAATAATGACATATGGAAAATAATCAGTCATCTTTCTCATCGGACTCTTCTTGCGTCTGTGTTGGCTTCTGGAAAAAAACACATAGAAATTCTATAAGTATTTACTGTCCCTTCACTCTTGATGATGCTAAATTACTGCTAAATTACTGCTAAATAATGTTTCTGTGTCATGAAAGTATGTTGAAGAGTACAAATTCGCACCAGTATTTATCGAAAACTTACAAAATAAGTACAGATCAATCAATCTAGACCTTTAATCATATACAATAGGAATGTATTAGCAACCAATGGGGTTCGCCGGCGATTTTTTCGCACCAGGTGGCGTGCGGGAAACCGGAAGTTGAATACTTCATAGGGCTACGCTTTTAACATCACTGACACTGTATAGATTAGTACATTTTTCCGTCGAAAATGCCACAGTATTGTTCTGTACCTGGTTGTACCAACTCTGGAGGACACAGATACCCATCTGATTCTGATTTACGACTGAAGTGGCGAGTGGCCGTGCGGCGAGTCGATCCAAAGACGAAGAAACTTTGGCAACCCGGAAAAACTGACGTTGTGTGTCAGTCACACTTCACAGCAGATGACTTCACGGTGACATTATTAGGTATGGATCAATAATTTAAATGCATAATATTTGAAAATTATTGCAATTATTGTTATTCATTTGTTCAGTTCATTCCAATTTGCGTAAATGCTGGATTTATTGGCCGAAGTTTTGATGTTGGCGTGATGCTCAGATCAAATGAAAACGATGTTTATTATAATATTATTATTCGAAACCGACATTTAGTAGATCAAAATACAAGAATTTCAATTTCATCCTGCATGATTAATTTGAGACAGAGTCGAAACAGATCAGTGTTCACGAAAAGCATCGGTCCGTCGGACATTTCCGATGGAAGTTACAATGGTCCGATGCATATTGTAGAACTGTCGGTCCTTGTGTCCGACAGGATATTACATCAATGAATTATGCATTAATATGTTTTCATCAATAAATAAAATAAAACATGACGGCTTTTGTTGTTTTTCATGGAATATTAAGTGGAACACGTTTGATGCTATTTTTATCGATCGATCAAGGTCAGCTAGCAAGGTTATGTACTGTTTAATGTATCGTGCAATCCGATTGGCTGTTTTCACGACAGCTTCTTTTCAACAACCAATCAGGTTCCACGATACGGAAAGTTTAGGTTAGATACTGTCACAACAAGAATGGCGGGTTTTCCGTAACTTTGCGATTCACGACGTGTCACTACATAAATAGAAGGGACATGTTGAATTTTCTCAAATATTATGATGGTGCTAGGCCTTCAAAGGCCCCTGCAAAGAAGCGTCTACCTACTGATGAACTTAAATCATCAGAGAAACGGTCGAGTTATGAACGACCGGACCGTTCGTTCAATCCGTCATGGCAAAACGGGAGAAGTTGGCTAACATTTGCCGATGGTAAAATGACTTGCAACATTTGTGTTAACTATAATGCAAGCAAGAATTCAGCTAGGCCTAGTTCTGATCAGAATTTTATTTCTGGGTCAAGAAACTTCAAGAAATCGACTGTGACCGATCACGAACTGAGTAGAATTCACATTCGTTCAGTTGAATTATTCAAAGCCGAGACTAGTTCCAGTGATGAAATAGCGTTTTCAAAGGCAGGGAGAGCTCTACAGAAATTAAAAAGTGCTGACAAAACAAAAATGACTTTTCTATTTAGAAATGCACATGCTGTTGCAGTGAAAAATAGACCCCTTTCCGATTTTAAATGGTTGTGCGAACTGGACAAAGTTCAATCTTTTTTTTACTTCATAATGGATGCGAGCACAGACATAAGTGGCGATGAACAAGAGTCCATGTATGTCAGATCATGTCACAAAGGTGTTGTCACAGAGAATTTTCTCAATATAGGAAGTCCAAGAAGCACATGTTCATCGGATTTGTACTTTTATGTCACAAACATCTTGGAGTCTACTGGCCTACACAGCTTTGCAAAAGGTAATTAAAAGCTATCATCTTAATGAACTGTATCCCAACAGCACATAATACCCAAGAACACAAAAAGTGGACACACAGGTGCTTTGAGTAACAGATATGTAAATGGTTTTCATGTATTTAATTCTTCATTTTTATTATTTATTCATATTATTTATATATATCTTAAGTCTTAAATGTGAAGATTTTTTAGTATGTCACACAGTTTATTCATAGTAAAATTAACTGAACAAACCAAAAATATTACCTATGATTTAAACCCATATTCAATGTCAGTTGCCAAGTATGTTCAATGAAATAAACAATCAATTTTTTTTTATTTTCTTCCTACAAAATGATGCTATTACACAATAAGTGACAATCAATATTTAACATGTTTATCATTCATTAACATTCAATGAACTGGGAACAATTAAATTCAGCACTTTAATTATCTTTTAGGAGAGAGGAGACGGTTGAAGCTGGACGCTGTCCCTTCCATCTTCACTCACAAGACGCGGACATCATGTCGACCCAAGAGGAAACACCAGCAGAGGGAGACAGAAGCCAGTGATGCCATGGAAGATGTTCAGATGGAAGTGGTTGTGGACTCATCTGATTCTAATGTTTCTACCAGTACCACTAATGATCCATTGTGTGACAGTGACCTTTGTGGTAGTACATTTCAGGATGAGCAAGTTCAGTGTAACCTTTTGGGTAAATATAGCATTGACATGTATATAAATAATTCTAAGGCTGTCCATTATTATACTGGTTTTCAGAACTATGATCATTTCATGTACTTTTTTCACTCACTTGGGCCAGCTGCTTATGAGCTCAATTATCAATGTGTATCTTTGTCGCCTAAAGACCAACTGTTTTTAACTTTGATGAAGTTGCGTCAGGCAAAGGAAGATGTAGAATTGAGTTTGTTTTTCAATATATCAGAGTCCACAGTATCACAAGTTGTTATCACATGGATAAATTTTTTGTATTTTCAATTAAAAGAAGTTAAAATATGGCCATCAAGAGAGACTGTTGATCACCATATGCCTCAAGATTTTGGTAAAAAGTTTGGTACTACAAGAGTAATATTAGATGCCACTGAAAACCCTATCCAAAAACCATCTCATGTAGATGCTCAGAGTGTAACATGGTCTAGCTATAAGCACCATAATACCATTAAGACTATGATAGGTTGTACACCTAGAGGTGCTGTTTCCTTCATAAGTGATTCATTTGGGGGCTCGTCAAGTGACCGTCAGATAATTGAAAAATCTCCCTTACTAGACCCCTCGGTAGGCATGTTTTATAAGAAAGATAGCATAATGGCAGATAGGGGTATATTGGTCCAAGATCTTTTTGCAGCTCAGGATGTACATGTCAATACACCCACAACACTTAAAGGTAGATCCCAACTTGAGCCTCATGAGATTGTGAAAGATCGCAGAATTGCATCTAAAAGAATTCATGTTGAAAGAATAATTGGTCTCAGCAAAACTTTCAAAATTCTGAAAGTAAATCTTCCACCTAGCAAAGTAATGCATGGGTCTAGAATTGTGTATGTCTGCTTTGCCATTTCAAATTTCAGAAATTCCATTGTAAATGAGTCGGCTTAGTTTGATTTGTATATACATTGCATTAGTAATGTGACGAAAAATATACCAGCACTTTTCATGACCATATTTATGAAGGACCATTTGAAATGGCAGTGCTGTTGAAAACTGAAAACTCTGTTGTTAGAGATATATCAAATATCTGGAGATTCATGTATAAATGTATATCATATATCACTATGATCACATCATTTGGAAAGTAGGACAAATAATTGATGCCTTCCTTTTTCAGATAACTCAAACAAAACCACAACAAAATTGATAAAAATATAAGACGTCTTTATTACAATATTTACTCCAATAATCCAGGTATGGAGCATGATGACATGCAATTGTGAATGCTGCCCCCAATATTACCACCAAACTGGTGCCACTGACCAGTTTAATAAGTAAAACTTGAACAAGTGATAACTTCAAAGAAAGGATTGTGATATTGAACATATGAACTTCAAAATGAGGCATCATGGTAGCATTAATGATACAGATTTATGTTAGATTTTTTTTATTGCATGCGATCATGATCCTCACCTATCATAGGCAGGGATTTTCCTTCAGTCCTGTATTGGTGTATTCTCTGTCTGCCTGCACTTTAATTGGCTATAAGCAGATTAGGATTAACAGTCTAGTGCCTGCACAATCAGAGTCTGTTCAAGTAAGTGGAGTTCACTTCCCACTCACCTCCAGGCTCACTAACTCACCACACTGAACACAGTTCATAATGATTAGTTAACTCAGTCATTAAAAGTAATCAAATATGACATGTGGCATGGGGTTATAAAACAGCAATTTAGTTTACCAGAAGTCATTCTACAATGACAGGCACATGTTCACTTTGTTCCCAATTCCTGGGGTGCCCAGAGTTAAGTATGCAAGTTTAGAGTCTTAACTGGTACCATCTCACCACTTGTTTATGGTGATGAAGTTTCTCATCAGGTGGGATTGTGACTGAGTGTGGTTATTGTCTTATGAAACAAATTATACAATGGTATGTATTTACGTATACTGCTCAGTGCACATAAATATCTATTTCTGGTGTGACATCTATGTCAACGTATTTTCAAAAGACTCATATTTGTATATGAAATGTAAATTGCTGATTAAAAATTTCATCATATTTGTCAGATAATTCATTTTCAAATATTTGTATAAATGCAATATTGTGTATGCATATGATGTTACATGCAATATCAGTAAAATTTGTGTATGGCCATATGCATTAAACAAGATGTGATAAACTTTACTGTAAATTGCTGGCATACTTGCATTTCTACTACAGACTATAGCTTTAATCCCAAGTGTTGTAAGGGTTAGTCATTTTAATCCAGTAATTTTCATCCCTAAATAATATGTGCATGCAAAAAGAGAACACCGTCCTGTATTTGAAGGTCCCTGGTACTCATACTCTTAAATTTTCAGGGGTCCTGGACAACAAAATGGGGGTACCAGACACCTTTATTTTTCTATTAATGCTATTATTAATGTTGTAATATTGTTGTAATTCAGTTACTGTTATTGCATTGTGCATCATGGTCATCACATTGTTACAGTACATTAAATTGCATATAATACATAACCCGGCTAGTAGCAGACTCTGTAATAACTTCTTGTTACTTGATTGAAATTTTACAAAATGTATTAGGACTCTTTCTGCTTCCCCTTGGAAGCGATATTTATTTTGGTTGCATCCTTTGTCATTTTTATGCTCATAGGATGCAGGAATCTGCATCCAGTAAATCCTGGATAGGTTATGGACCTGAAGTATGTCAGAGGCACAGTCTACTCTGTTACTACTGAATCTGTCAGTGTTAAGTTTTGTAAGTATGTGTTCAAACTTGGGAAATTTACATGTAAAATCATGTATTGATACAACAAAATGTAATGAAGTGCAACACTTTGTGCAGTTACTGAATAAATATTGGTTGTTAAGATCCTTAAGTCTGAACTACTATACTTAACTGTGTAAATAGAGATATCATGTCAATAAAGTCAATAATACAGAATGACCAAGATTATTTGTTTTTGTTTTATGACACCAGCAGTGTATCCAAACGTCTGTGGATACAGGATTTTACAAGACTGATGCAATGTAAGGTCTAAGATGCTGTTGGTAAAAGAGTTCTATTTTTGGGAGCATAGAAAGCTGAAAATAGTCATGGTCAAGGTCAATCTTTTCAACAAACATATCACAGAAAGTGTACACAACAAAAAAACAACATTTTCGTTTGGCAATGTACAATTGTCCTTGAATCTGATGATAATAATTATTTCTTTGATTCAAACAAATCTTCCCTGTGGAATCATACAAAAGATATGGAAATTTCTTGCCTGGTTTGATCATATCATCACGCCCAGCATAAGGACATTTCACTTCAACCAAACAATTGTCATCTATGATTGCATCTGGAGTTGCACCCAAGAAAGGTATGTCTCTATCAATATAAAATCCAGCTTTCTTAGTCTTTATCCCATGCAATTTTTCAAAATGTTTAATAGCTTTTTTCTCATACTGTTTACCATGTATCATAGGTCTTGTACATGTTTGGCCATATAAAAGTGAATGACATAGTTTCTTTTTATTTCTTCTACTTGTCATTTTGGTGACTTCTCCGAACCGTGATGCTGTTAGTCGCCACTTCCTCTCCCTATGCCATCTTTGATTATCACCTTGGTCCCTGGTACTCTTCTCTATCTGGACAGCATCATCTTCTGTGACCTGAAGAAACATTAAATCAATTTAGTAAACACTATTGTTAAAGTTGTAAAGATAGCTTCATACAAGTTAAGGCTATATCAGTTACTTATGATTACCATCAAAGTTCACATCACTTAGTAGCTTTATAACATGCTGCTTGTGCAAACTATTTAAGTTTTCAGTTAGCATGATGGTGGTTTTAAATGTGAAATAACATTCTCAAATTTAATCTGGTTGACATTCTATTTACCAAAAAAATGAACTTTATCAGTGCTAATTCCAGTTTCTGATCATGTCTAGAGTAATTACTGTTGGTTACAAGTGTTACCTGCAATGCCCTATCAACCCAGTACTCTGAAAAGGGCTTGTCCAGATAGTCATGGTCCTTCACTGCAGTCTGTAGGTCAGCCTTTGGATGTAAATATCTCAGTGCAAGGTCTTCACAAGTTGCTGAGCAAAGGTTTACCATCATATTACGAACATGGTCATCAAAGCCAGCCATCCTTCTGTATTTTGGTGGACGCGGGTCTTCCAACATCTTGTCTGACCACTTCTGCTTTGAAGGTAGAGACTCTGCTTTCACTGGAGAGCCTTTGTAAGTGGATTTTGGTTTGTGGAAAGTCTGAAGATTCTCTGTGCAGCTCTTCTCCACATGAAGACTGCCTGTTGCAACAAAGTGCTCTGCCATGATCAGGACCGCTGCTATGTGCTTGCAAGTAGCATGGGGACCCTTCCCTGTGTGGAGATAACGGGAGCACCTGTCTTGTCCACCTTTATTTTATAGTTGTAGCTGACCTTTCAAAAAAAAAGTTTTAGGGAGCGGTGACAAAGATGATTTAGGATTAATAATGGCGATAGGTACATACTTAATAACAAAATAGCTTTGATCAAAAGTTGATCTCTATTTATAAATTTATGCTTAGACATTCACTGTGGAGTTACACTTTTATATTGGAGTTTTTTTAGTAATGTGGAAAATAACTACCTTATTCTTCATAGAAGCGCCAACAATTCCACTGAAGTAAGTGGATGATCCCTCAAAATACACGCTGCAAGCGAGGACCCTGTTGGCTGAGAACATCCTTGCCCCCTTCTCCATAGACTTTAAGTCACTGACAGCCTGATTATCTTCAGCCATGCGGAAAACAAAGGATCCCTCTGTCAGCTCCTTGGAGATTGGAGGTAGGATGCTTTGATGCTTAGGGAGAAGCTGCCTAAATCCTGATGATGGCCACCTTGCATCAAGTGGCTCAGGAAGATGGATGACAGTGCCACGGAAATCATCATTCCGATCATATGCCTTCAGTCTACAAAACAAATATCTTGTGTTGAAGAAAAAGTTTATCATGATTGATGATGTCACTGCATCAGTTAAATTACTGATGAAATATTATTGTCTGACAGAACAATATTTCATTTAATTATTGAATAAAAGTGGTTAGATACATACAAATACAAATTAAGCCTCTATTGTACTATTGTGATCAATATGAGAAATATGAACATATTTATACAAGTGAAACATATATATATAACTAGTAACTTGTGCAGAAAATTAAATACATGGATTACAAGTAGGTTTTTATTGTTGATTATCTCTTTCAAAAGTTTGTTTATTCTGGAATTCAGCTAGGACTAAGAAATAGCTTTTATAAATGCTGAAACTGCATGGGATCTAACTTTCAAAATATTTTAAAATTGGTATTTGTTTAAACAATACACAAGTAATTTACTGAGGAGTTTTCGACTATTGATGTTTATGTAAACGTTGGATTTTGTTCAATGTGGCTCAATGCGTAGGAAAGCAAAAATGATGTTATTCTATTATATTAAAGACGAAGTGCAGAAATGACAGTTTCATCTCAATATGGATTGTGAACGGCTTCGTGATTGGCTGACAACAAAACGTCGACCAATCAAAAAGCTTAAAAGACCCTGCATGGCCCCGCACGTCAACAAACATTCACAGTGCGTCAAGCTATCGATGAAAAAGAATATTCATTACCCACACTACGAATAATATTGAGTTATCGGTTTTCTGAAATTGATTCCGTGATGTATTGACCTAAGACAATGAGTCGTAGAAAATATATGTTTCATACAATGAATAAGGACATTTCTCTATCTTTGCCCCGTGTTCAAAGTGACAAGTGCTAAGGTTGTACAGTGCACACACCCTACCGTTTGAGCGATATGGCAGTAATGTGTGACAATGCAACTATGTTCGAAAAAATCGCCAATGTATTAGGTCTGTATCTATCAAACACATATCACCGTTACATATATGATCTAGCGTACAAAAATCTGAGTGGAAGACATGATATACGACGGCCGACATTGACAAGTCAGCAGTGAGACACAAATGGAATAAGAAACGCTTTCTAGGTCTGTTGTATTGTTGTTACACTTTCAAAGCAAATAAATACCTTTCGACAAGATCAGTCTTTCTGCCAGTGGTTGCTGCCTGTCTTCTGATCAGCTCCTGCTTTAACTTCTGAACTGTGAGCGCTTCGTAAGTTGCAGCCATATCGCGTCAGTAGTAACCGAGCTTGGTTTCCGCTCTCGATTCCGCTGAGTTCTGCACGGTGACTGGCGCAACGTTGGCGCAGCGCATTGGCCATAAGGAACCAGTACAAGATCAGCGCCACAATAACCGATAGTACACCCGCGCCCCCAAGCGGATTAGTGTGGCGGCGAACCCCATTTGTCAAATTGTGCAAGTGATTTCATCTGGTTATATGTAAAGTACGGGCGTCATTTACAGAAGAAAGTTGTTACACGCAATAGTTTTACGGGACTGAATATTCTGTATTTCTTATAGTTGACCCAAGTTATAATGATTAGTTGCCTTTTAATGGCAGGATAAACTCTTATGTAAAAGTATTTCGTTCTCGACACATCTTCTTTTCTTGTTTATAAGTCGCATACTATATTTGTTTATGAGGGGGCTGACATTTGTTGTGAGGAATCATAGTCTGGTTGTTAGGGAAATGACATGTTGTTTGCGCTATAAAATAACGAACTGGAGTCACAGACACGAATGTAATATTATCACCTGATTTCCTGTACATCGCAGATTAGCAAGAGTGTCTACGTGACTAAATCTGTGTCGGCAGATTGGATACGGGACTGAGGAAAGAGGGAGAATTCCGATATTTGAAAACAGGTCTACATTTTGGTCACATAATAAATGGTACTATCATAGTTAAGTTAATAGTCCACATTTGTTTGCAATTTAATTGATATCACCATGCCTCTACATTATTTTGGCACCCATGAAAAGGCCACCTCCTCGTGGTGGGTGCTGGGTCACGCTAAGCGCCTTTCAACCCCCCGTTGTGGACCCGGGGGGGATATTTTGGTCCACCAACCCGTTTGCCGTGGGTTGCGCCCCTGTGTCGGTGGAGGACGGGAGGCTGGTGGTTGAGGGCACTGGTTCCAGGAACAGTGTTCCTTTGCCCAACACACCACTTCGCCCCTTACTTCACCTAGACGGGTGGTTGAATGGGCCCGGTTCAACCAATCGGCTGGTCATGTCGAGCCCTGTGCATCACTTGTATTTGCACAAATTATATTATGAACTACATTTTTGACTTTAGGTCTTGGCTCTTTTTTGTTTGTAAAATATTAAATTGGTTTTGAAATATATCCTATTTAAAATGCCTAGAGTCCTATGCCCAGAAGGCGATGGCTCATGGGCCAATCTGGTGGTTTGATTAATTTTCAATTAGTCTTCTGCTGGAGTATACCATCTCAGTATCCTTGGTGCTGCCAGTCGGCGACCCACTGGTTTATAGCATTGTCCTTGTGATACTCCGTGGTGGGTGGGGAGCTGGGATGGTGAACCTTCTCAAATTAACCATGGCTCAACCAAAAAAACATAAACGTGCATTAGATGAATGCTCATTCTCTGATGAGGACAATACCACAAACAAACCTCCTGATACTTGGAGCAGATTTCTAGTAGTTTCGTCTACTGATGGTGGACCACTTAAATTAAATCCTTTTGCAACATCCAAAGCAATTTATGGAATTGTTGGGGATGTTCAAACTGTCAAAAAGATCAGATCCGGCTTCCTTTTGATCGAATGTAAAACCGCAAAGCAATCTGCCACTCTTCTAGCAACAAGACACCTAGCCAATGTTGACGTCACAGTTTCTCCTCACAAATCCCTAAACAGCAGCAAAGGCATCATTAGAGATAGGGACCGATGGCTCTATGATATGAGTGAGGCTGACATAGAAACCGAACTTCAAAGTCAAGGTGTCACGAATGTGAAACGTTTCACAGCCAAGAGAAATGGTGAAATTATAAAAACAAACACATACTTGCTTTCTTTTTCTCAACCCAAACATCCAAAATGTATCAAAGCTGGATATTGTCTCATCGAAGTGGAACAGTACATACCGAATCCACTTCGGTGTTACAAGTGTCAAAAGTTTGGCCATGGTGCCCAATCTTGCAGGAATCCCATCACTTGCTACCGATGTGGTGAAGCTGCACATGACGGATCTGATTGTCTCACATCTCCAAAATGTGTGAACTGCCATGGAGAACACATGTCTTCATCCAAGTCTTGTCCTATCTGGAAACGTGAGTATGAAATAGTCAAACTTAAAGTACAAAAGAATATAACATACCAGGAAGCAAAGCTTTTATTCAATGCAGCCCCGCCATCGACAGGTATGTCATACTCAGCAGCTGTCACACACCCTCTTTCTAAAACGTCAAGTCTGTTGACTGTCAGACTGATATCACGTGGGTAAAAAACAGAAAAGTACACTGTCATCAAACCATCTACTACTAGAAAAGAGACATCACAGTCACAGACTGATCCACCATCAATAGTTTCATCTCCTATTGTGAAAAATGCAAGCCAGAAAGTAGATTACACCCAAAAATCTGATCGATTACAAAGGGTTCACGAGACCCTGTACAAATTTTCAACAAATTCCAGATACTGGAAGATATGGATGTCTCCCCTCATCCCCGTGCACGCGACAGAAGTAAGTCGCCTCGGACTGGGAAAAGTAGATCCCCAGTACTTCCACCATCAACATGAGTCATACCTCTTTCATTCAGTGGAATTGCAGAGGTCTGAAAAATAATTTCAATGAAGTACAATTACTGATACAGGACTTTCGACCGTCAGCGTTATGTCTTCAGGAGACATATATAAAAACTACAGACTCTTTTAATTTACGTCAATATAGTGGTTATCACTGTTTCTCTCTCAAGGTGAGAAAGCAACTGGAGGTGCTTGTATTTTGGTAAGACAGGGTATTATCCATAGCTCTGTCCCTCTTAATACCAATCTTCAGGCTGTAGCGGTTCGTCTGACTTTACACATTGCGTTGACACTGTGTAGTTTGTATATCCCTCCTTCTTCCACTATTCAACAGTCTGATCTTCAAAACCTGTATGATCAACTTCCGAAGCCGTGTCTACTCATGGGCGATCTTAATGGACACAACCCGCTTTGGGGAAGTACCCATACAAATAATAAAGGTAAACTCCTTGAAGAATTCATTTCAGATAATAACCTATGTATATATAACGACGATACAAGCACATATTTACATCCAGCTACGGGAACATATTCTTCCCTGGATTTGTCACTTGCTGACTCCATCTTGTATAATGAATTTGAATGGATGGTCCATGATGACCTATGTGGAGTGATCACTTCCCACCATTCTCAAAACAATCGGCCCTGGTGATGATCCTCCTTTATCCAGAAGGAACTTTGCCAGGGCTGATTGGTCATTGTATGAGACATTGTGTGCTGATCACTTAAAACATGATGTATTTGAGACCAGTGAAGATCCGATACAGTTGTTCTCCGATTTACTCAATGACATTGCTGACCAAACTATACCTAAGTCCTCTGCAGTTCCACATATTCGCAAGCCATGGTTTGATAATGAATGTAAACAGGCCAGAAAGAGCAGGAAGAAAGCTGAAAAATATTTTCGGCGATATCCTACTGTCCATAATTTAAATAAAGTTAAAATGTTAAATGCCAAGGCTCGACGTACGTTTAAACAGAATAAGCGTCAGTCTTGGAGGAAATATGTTTCTAAAATTAATTCACGCACACCTATGTCAAAGGTGTGGAACATGATTCACAGAATAAAGGGCAAAGGTTCTAAATCTACTGTTCACCATCTGCAGGATGGTGATAATTTATTAACTGATAAACTGACATTGCCAATAAACTTGGTGAAACTCTCAAAGCACTCATCTTCATCCAATTATATCCCTGAGTTTCAAAACTTTCAGAAACAACAGGAGAAGACAAGGTTACATTTTAACTCAGACAATGGTGAAGATTATAATGAATTATTTTCACTACATGAACTACACACCGCCCTTGAGCAAGCTCATGATACAGCAACAGGGGCAGACGATATCCACTATCAGCTCCTGAAGCATTTGCCCGAACCATGTTTGGAAACATTACTAAATATTTTTGATTCAATATGGACTTCAGGGAATTTCCCAACTTCATGGCGTGATGCCATTGTCGTCCCCATTCCAAACCCGGCCGGGATCATACTGATCCATCAAATTACAGACCAATCTCTTTAACGAGTTGTGTCTGTAAAACCATGGAACGAATGGTAAATAATAGACTGACGTGGTATCTTGAAACCAATAACCTTATAACTAATATTCAATGTGGTTTCAGGAAAAACCGTAGTACCATTGATCATCTGGTACGACTAGAATCCTTTGTTAAAAATGCTATAGTAAATAAACAACATGCAGTATCAATTTTCTTTGATCTTGAGAAAGCTTATGATACGACCTGGAAGCATGGCATTTTGAAGGATTTACATGATTTTGGTTTGAGAGGTCGTTTGCCTCTTTTTATATCACAGTTTTTAAAAGACAGACAATTTCAAGTCCGAGTGGGTTCAACCCTGTCTGACCATTATAATCAGGATCAGGGTGTGCCGCAAGGCAGTATTTTGTCTGTCACATTGTTTAGTATAAAGATAAATAGTTTATCAAAAGTTTTAAATGATTCAATTGATGGATCATTATTTGTGGATGATTTTAATATCTCTTGTCGCGGTAAAAATATGCACACTATTGAACGACAACTGCAGTTGTGTTTAAATAAAATAAATAAATGGTGTCTTGAAAATGGGTTTAAATTTTCTAAGTCAAAAACTAATTGTCTACACTTTTGTAGGAAATATAAGCCTCATAAGGACCCAGAACTATTTTTAAATGGTATTCCCATTAAAGTTGTCAAGGAGGCCAAGTTCTTGGGTCTAATTTTCGACTCCCATTTGACTTTCCTTCCGCATATCAAATCCCTAAAAACTAAATGCCTGAAGGCACTCGATTTATTGAAAGTCGTTTCTAATTCAAAGTGGGGAGGGGACCAAACTACCCTCCTACACCTGTATAGATCACTTGTCCGCTCGAAGCTTGATTATGGCTCCATCGTATATGGTGGAGCCTGTAAAAGCAACTTAAAACTATTAGATTCTATCCACCACCAAGGTCTCAGACTTTGTCTTGGGTCCTTTCGAACTTCTC